GGTCTGAATGGTGGATCCTCCCTTTCTGTCAGTGAGGGCTGGTGTGGATCAAGAGACTGAAGTGAGTCTCCACGGAGCCTGTCGGATGTGAGAGAGAGACGGCAGGTCTTCTGTGGAGAGGTAGGGTAGCTGCTCCTACTGCTGTGCGGAGGAGCCCAGTACTTGTCTGGCGTCCGCATCAGTTGCTGGAACGCCAGACAAGTGAGAGATCTCGGCTTAAGCTGAGGAGGGGGGTGGAGTGGCGTGACGTCAGCGGCCCGGGGGCAGAACCCCCAGTCGTGTCCATGACGTCACTCGGGTGAACCGCCGGGAGCTGTTACACCCAGTTGCTTCCACTTTGTTATAATACCACTAACAGTTGACCGTGGAGTATTTAGTGCAAGGACATTTCACGGATGGACTTATTCCACAGGTAGCAACCTATCATGGTACCACGCTTGAATTCACTGAGCTCCTGAGAGCGACCCATTCTTTCTCAAATGTTTGTAGAAGCAGTCTGCATGCCTAGGTGCTTGATTTTATACACCTGTGGCCATGGATCAATTTGCTGACAGAGACTTTCAAAGTATTCAAGTGCAAAATTCACTACTGAATTGTAGCTCGTGCTTGTAATTATTGTTCAAAATCACATGCTATATAATGTTGGATTCATGACAAAACAATAAAGAAGAAAAGACATGGAGTATAAAATGTGATTCCCGTGTTATGTACGCCCAGCCCGAACCCGCTGTACGTCAATCACCCGTGACTATACGCAGTTCTGAACCGAGCGAGCCATCACAATGTGGTGATACCACTCTCAGCCACACCCTGCACAGAGATTTCCCAGCTCGCGGGACAACAATCTCATGCCAGCAGACTGAAAGAGATCATCACTAGGGTTGGTTAATGCCGCAGTTAACCCTTTACACACCAAACGTTCGCTGCCACCACGTGTTTTTATTGGAAAACACGGACCAATCCCAGCAAGTGCTGTGACCATTCAAAACACTTAAGCAAAGCCTAAGATACCACTGTCCTCTCAAACAGGAATATGACAGGTCTCACTATACAGTAGCGCTCTTCACAGAGGCAAGGATACTTTAAGTTCTTATTTAGAGCATCGAGATAAGCTTAATGATTTTTATGATCATCCTTCAATAAAAGAAACGGTGCAAAAAAATATTCAAAAAAGGATATTATTAAAGAGAGACAAAATATATAACAGTAAAATAAAAGGGAACAAAAAGAGAATACTTAAGAGTCCTGGGTTTATGAGTTCTGACAAAATCCAAAGTTCAATAAGCAAAGGAGCGGTCTGAGTGGCTCTTCTCAAAGCAAGGCTTGCACAGATGATTTCCAGATATTAAAGGGGAACTCTTCTGGGACGTTACAAACTTCTTGAAGTTGCAGGAGTTCCTTTCCTTGATGTTACAAACAAAAGCCTTTCCAGCTGCCTCTGCAGCATCTTTTTGTCAGCCCTTTTAGGGGTTGTCATGGAGCCGACACCTAGGGCAGGGCTGGGGAGGGGAAGCAGAAGGGATAACTTTAACGATGTCCTCTCCTGCTCCTCCCAAACAGTGAAATGCATAACTAAGAGGATAATTGACTATTCGTATCCAATATAGTCTGACAACCCCTTAATTATGATGTGTAATGAAATTAGCTTTAGATGGAAACTAGAGGTGCACCGAAATGGAAATTTTAAAACCGAAACGAAACCGAAATAAAAAAACTGTCAGGCCGAAACCGATACATGGCCACGGCTTACTTCCGCGTTCCAGCCTGGAACGCACAGTAATTCCAGTCATGGGGAAGGAGGCCTGCGGCGGACTCCCCGGCCGATGCGTTCCAGCCTGGAACGCAGTCGGGGAGCACCTTGAATCCTAGGAACATTACATATAATCTATTTCTCTGTTACTGTTATGTACTGCTATTTTATGTAATTAGATAAATGGATTATAATGGGGAATATTACACTGTAATGTTCCCTATTATAATCTATTTCTCTGATTAAATGATTACAGGTAGGCATGTGATCTATCTATGGTCACACATTTTAACGTAATCTCGCCCAGTTTTTCGGTGGTGGAATAGGTGAAGAATTCCAACGCTTTCATTTTTTGGTGTAACTGTATTTTATTTTGAAGGCATGTTTAAATACAATTAAATTAAAATTATTAAATCAAAACAATCTAAAATATAAACAATCAACGTCCCCCCCCTCAGCGGGCCACGGTAAAATTATCAAGCGTTGACCGGTCCGCAGCGATAAAAAGGTTGGGGAGCACTGATGTAGATCACTCCCATTCATTCATATTTGAGGATATAGTTAACATACCATGTCCTCAATTATCTACAAACATTCAGCGATTACTGATCGCTGAGTGTATGTAGCCTGCTCTCCTCTCTGACACACTGTCACAGGAGGCTGAGCGAGCAGAGCAGGGAGGAGAGCTCCGCCTCCTGTGACAGCGCGGCCTGTCTCCGCCCACACACCACTCTGCCAAACTGTGATAGGCAGCCGAGCTGTGTGGGAGGAGAGACACCGGCCGTTAACGGCGCTCTCCTACCGCAGCGCTCGGCCGCCTGTGACACTTTCTCTCTTCCCCGCTGGGACACACACGGGGAGGAGAGAAAGCAGGGATGTGCCGATGTATCGGCCGAAACATGGCACTTTTGGCATTATGCCAAAAGTGCAATTTTCGGACGATATGTTTCGGCGGCCGATATATCGGTGCATCCCTAATTGAAACTAAACTTGGCAAAGATATAAATGATGGGTGGGGCCAGGAGGGTAAATGTCACCTGCCGGGTCCCGGAGGCTCATAATCTATCTATTTTTAATATGTCTGTTTCTGTCTCGACGAAACACAGCTATTGGTGCACTTAATTTTACAATATCACTGTCCAATTCCAAGTTATGAAATTGAGTTGATGTTGTAACTCAGTTTTATGACTGGAGTGTGACCTAGGTCACTATCCTTACAAGGCCCTCCGGTGTTTATTTAAATCTGTCAAATGCTAATTTATTAGGGGATTTGCTAAACTGGGCAAACCATTACCATGCACAATTCGCAACCAGACTCTTAATCCGAACACAGACCTGGTAGAGCAGGAAAGGGGGACAAGCGAGCACCATAACAGGCCACATGCTCTCGGCATTGGGAGGGTGCTTTTTCGGTGCCTTAAGCAACCGAGTGAATAACCCCCTTAGTTTACTAATTTGCACTGAGATTGTAGTCCATAATGGGAGCGAGCCTGGAGCGGTGACTACATTACAACACACACAGGGACCTTGGCGAACTAAAGTAGCCACCCTCCAGAAGGAAGGACAGTGTCAGCATGAATTCAGAAATGATTTGAGGATCTACAGCCGAGAGATACACAAATAAGCTACATTTTTGTTAATAGTTAACCACTTGTTTACACCCCCTTCCTGTCCAGGCCTTTTTTCAGTATTCAGTGCTGCTTATTTTATTTTATTTCGTCAGTTTATTCCGTCATGCAACGCTGTACTGAAATTAATTTTATACCATTTTTTGGGGACAGACAGAGCTTTCTTTTGGTGGTATTTAATCACCACTGGGGTTTTTATTTTTTACTATATAAGAAAAAAAGTACCGAATATTTAAAAAAAAAAAAGTTTTTCCCTTTTTTTATTTTAGGAAACATTTATTTTTAACCAATTTTTTGGTAAAATATAAAAGACGGGGTCACGTCAGGTACATAGACACCAAACATGTCAAGCCTTAAAATTGCGCGCGCCCACGAAATTGCTAAAAACAACCATAGCCAAAATTGGTCATAGGCGACACTTTAAGAGATTTTACTGCTCATCAGTTTAGTGACTAATAGCCCGATAACTATTGCTCACACTCCGACGTTCGTGGCGATATGTAACATGAGCATGATTGGAGCAATTGTAGTTTTTGCGTGTAGGTGCACCTAGCGCATTTTTGCGCATCTACGTGGGGAGGGGGACTTTAAAAACATTTTGTGGGGTTTTTGTGTGTGTGTGTGTGTGTGTGAACATTTTATTTATTTTGTGAGCTTTTTTTATTTTAATTTTTTTACTTTTTTTTTTTTTTACACTTAACTTTATTGTTATCACATAGGGTTCTAAGAAGTACCCTATGTGATAACAAATTACAGTGACAGGTCCCCTTTATGGATACATCAGGGGTCTCTAAGACCCCTAATGTCACCTAGGGACCCCCAGAGAAGCTGGTGAAGCACAGATGTGCTTCATCAGCCTCTTTCTGGGTTCTGTACCAGAGAGTGACAGAGGAATGCGGAAGTGATGTAATATACATGTAATGATCTCGCTTTGTTCTCAGTGCACAGAGCCACATCGCCCAGGATGGATGGACGCCCGAGATCACGGGACAGTGGCGTCGCGGATAGCAATGGCGAGAAGAGGTAAGGAGGGGGGGGAGCACCCTGACTTGCATCATACAAGTGATCGGGCGTCTTTACAGATGTCAGACCGCTTGTATGTAAACAGCCATCACTGGGCGTTTAAAATCCTGGCGGTTTCCCGCTCGTGCGCGCGCGATCAGGCGCGGGCACGAAGGACATCTAAAGACTCCCGTCCGCTCGTCTTTCAATGTTCGGCGGCCGGAAGCTGGTTAAGTACTTGAATGCATTTTTAAGATTTAACTCCTCAGTTTAGTGGCACTTTAAAATTACTGGTTAACTATGTAACAAGAAAGGGGTGGAAAAGGAGCAGAGTTTCCTCATAAAACGCTCCTCATTCCAGTACCACATGGTCACCCACACATTGTTTTTCTTCCTACTTGTAAATCTATGTTTTTGTAAACAAAGTCGTTTCCCGAGGTTTCTCTGTGCATCACCATGGTATGGTTTAGTCATTCATTTTTCTTTCTACTAAGAAGAATGTAGCTATGACTCAGGCAGTATAGAACATATTACGGCTCTCAGCCACCTCCCAATTCTTGCAACTGTACAGTTGCCAAACAAACTGGGTGTAGCTGAATTCTTTCTCTGCTGTTTCTTTGCATATACTGTAGGATCCTATAAAAAACACACAGACACCTCCCTAATTGCATCACAGAAAACCTATAACTGCCTGTGAAATATTACTGTGAAAGTATTGCCATTTACACTAAAATAGAGTGAAGACTTCAGAGGCATTCTAGTTGTGTAAGGTAAGACTTGCTGTATATTTTCTATTACAATGGCAAAATGTAAGTAGTTTTTCTTAACTCTATTCAAGAGTAGCACACTAGCAACATAAGTCAGCAGCTTGTATACTATACCATCATTGTAGCTTCTTTGTAGAACTTATTTTATTGAAGCCAGAGGAAAAATTATAACAATTAATTCACTATTCCGATAGCTTTAATTTAAATCATTTATACAATAAATCCCAGGCCTTCTGCTGAGAAAAATGCAATTGTTTTATTCACAATACACTAAGCTGTTTCTATTTTACCAGAAATGAATAAAACACACATATTTGATTCAACTTTTATTTAGAAATATTATTTTCTTGAAAATACATTTAAAAAGTTTTGCAAAAAAAACCCAAAAACTACAAATTGTATTATTCATGTTGGCATGATGTTGATATAACTTGAAATGTGAAATACATACTTTATTAACAAGAGATTATTCTGATAACTAGTCCTAAACATATCTTTACTATTAGCACTTTACTTACCATATTGCTAATTGTGTTACTATCTGAATCCACAGTATTTATTACAAAATGATTGCAAGTTTGGTAGTAAAATCCAGAAGGCATTGGATTTATGATTCAAGCTCTGGGCTGAGAAACTTGTGACAGCATGAGATTTATTATGTAATTGTAATAACAAACTAAGACACCTTGTAAATAGTTTATTATAACACTATAACATAATTTTGCTACATTGTTTATAAATAATGGAATTATTATTATAAAATAATGGAATTATTAACTATGACTCATGAATTGTGCCAAAGGACAGGTTTACAAAAATGTGCCCTTTGTGCTTCTTTTTTTGCCAGACACCTGTACATTAACTGAGCACAATGCCAAATTGTGAATGGGAACTCAAGGAGAAGGCTTTCAATTTGCAAACTGTATGTTCACTCAAACATGACTGGCTATTCAAATTTACACATATTCACTTTAAATACCAACATTCACTTTGCAAAGTGCATATTCACTTTGCTAAATTAACAGCCTTTACTTATTTAGCAAATCAGCTCCAATAACGTGTTGTGCATCAAGGCAATATGGCAAATATGTTCTTTACATAAATTTTTCTTACATCCCAGCATTTCAGTAAATATGGAACTAATTCTGATGTTTTAAATATCTTGTGTGCATAAAGCCCTGCTTATATTCTAGGTTTTGTAGCCCAGACACCCACCTTTGGTAAATGACATACAAGTACTGTATGTATATAACAAAATACTGGTACAATAATGGAGAATTAATATGTTATGTCATAAGGATGTGATTGACATGATTGTGTCTCACACTATAGAATATTATAGTGTACAAAATCGAAAGATAACACATTTTTATTTCTAAAAACCAATGGTAGCACTTTACATTTGTTAACTAAAATCAGTCCTCATATTACATCAGGTAGAATATGGTAGAACAGAACCTGTACTTCAATTCAGGATTTGCCATGTTAGAGTAGTTGTGCAACTACATATTTCATACATATTTGTAGTTTACAAGAACGAGCTTTAAACAAAAATGTTCAAATAGCCCAACACTTACAAACCCAACCTTTGTACTTTTAATTGGAAATTTATAGAGGGTTTGGTCAATACGATAAGGTGTCCCATAAACTATTAACTTGACTTAAAAACTGTCTGTCATTGCTTAAGGCAGTATGTGATCTATATAACCAGTCTCAGCAGTGATGACTTTATGACCCGAAGGCTACTAAAATCACATTGTGAATTTTCTTACTATTCAAGGGATATTCCGGCAGGCTAGAACAAGCATAGGGATGTTTTGTCAGTGTGCCTATGAGTTTATCTGCAGAGTACACAACTGTGTATGTTCATCCATTTATCATCAAACAAATCTCTTAGTTATCACTGTTAGTACACTAAGGGTGTGTATGGGATGTGTGTTTGGGATGTGTATTCCACTGGATTTGACAGAGGCATTGAAACACTCAAAACTAATCATAGATCCAGTCTGAGAACAATAAAATATGCCACAAGATAGGTTGGGTTGCTTAGGATTTTGTTTTGAAGTATACAATGAGTCAGCCAACTGTGAATCTGCCAGCTGGGTGGAGTAGGTGCTGGTGTGATATCTGAGGTTTGGTATCACACAATAGCTCTAAGTCATTTGCGTGACCTAATTTCTTAACTTTACTTACCCTTTTAGGATACCTATAGACATTGGATATCAATCAAAAAGGTCAAGCAATCTCATGTTTGTTCTATAGAATGATTGTTAAATAATCATCCATGCTCATTTTAGCCAAGCAAGCATTGAGTAAAAACCCATGGTGTGGGCCTTTTATTAGGTGAACAGCTGCAAATGTATAGGACGATTCAGTTTAAAAAAAAATGTATCTCCCCACCTGGATTAGCTGGCACAGAAGTACATACTGCCTATAGATATACATGGCATTAGTCTAAAAGATAATAAGAAGAGAGCGCACTGGCATAGTGTAGCAAATCTCTTCAATTATAAAAACAAATAAGACAAATGCACTCGCAATTAGATGCCTCGCTTAGGGAGCATGTCAAAGAAGATTGTAAACAATAACCACCAAGCTATCCCTGCATGTGATAGCCATTTATTTAGAGTGGCTTTTATTTGCCCTACTAGAAGTAGGTTTGTATTTGCATTAAAGTCTAATTATCCTGAAACCTGTTATTTCAGTTTTTGGGTGGATACTGCTAGATTGAGTTGCCAACCCTCTCCCTATATTTTTTGGCAGATTTGATTGACAAGATCTTGTTACTTATCTTGTTCCCAGCTCCACCCAGTTTTCTCTGGCAGGGGCATCATATTATATGTAATAGATATGCTATAAACAAAGTAAGGTCACAATCACGACAGAAACAGAGGAGACATTTCTGGAAAAATTGTTCTTCCAAGCTCCGATCACTGTTTCTCACTAAGATAAAGGCCTAGGCATGTTGTCAAGTAATCTCTGCTAAGGGGTAGTATAGGAGCTCAGATTGGCTGGTCTACCTCTTCAGCAAAGATTTTGTGACCAAACATTTAGGTTTATGATTATTGTGTTATTATTGTGTTATTTATTATTACCCAAAATCTAAATGTAAAATACTATATTTACTGCTACATATTCTTTATCAGTATCTTTGTATTTTGTTGCTAAGATTTTCTACTTGGTGACCTTTTTGTTTACTCTGCTCATCTGAAGGCATTGAGAGTAAGGATGGGCTAAGTGTTCGTTTCGAACATGAGTTCGAATCGAACATCGGCAATTCGAGTGCTCGCCGAGCGCCGAATTTTATGGAATGTTCGCGGTCTGTTCGACCGCGTACATTCCATAATACAAAATGCCCACTAAAGCTCTGATTTGTTAAAGTCTTGCACCTGACCACAGGTCAGGTGCAAGACTTTGCCCAATCAGGGCTCAGCGGAGGAGGGGCCTGAAGGAGAAAGTTCTCTATCAGGTCCCCCCATGTGGGCGGGTGCAATAGCCAGCTTGCTATTGGCTATTGCATTTTACAATATCCAATAGCAGGCTGGGTATGGCTCCCAGCCTGCAGACGAAGTGGAGGCAGGGGGGCGGGGCAGAGGAGCAGCAGCTGGACAGAAGAAGAGAAGCCGACGGACCGCCGAGACAGCGAGCGGACGGACCAGGGGACCGGAGGTCGTTACAGCAGCGCAGGTAAGGGGGCAGTACACAATATTTATCACATGTACCGGCAACTGTATGAGGGTCGAACATTCGACCCCCATACACTTGCATTGAGTTCGTATTCGAACATTTCGGCTGTTCTAATGTTCAAATACGAACCGAACAGGGGGGTGTTCGGCTCATCCCTAATTGAGAGATACCAATGTATGTAATAAAATAAAGGATTTTGACTTATTTATTTATTACAGCAAACATTTGGTAAAAAGTCACAGCAACTAATCAAATTTCAACAAGTTAGTAGTTAGGCGAGTAAGATGTGATCTCTGATTGGTAACTTTGAGTTGTTCTGTGTTGTTGCTCTTTGCATTATGAAACAGGTTTTAAAGGTCTTCTTTGGTAATTTAGCAGCTGCCATTCCATCATGTCATAAGTTAAGGTGGCCATACACAAGTAGATTTTCGTTCAGAAATCATACGCGAATGGTCTATCGAACAACAATCGAAAAGTTGATGGTACATCACCGATTTTCATTTTTCATATTGTGATCAAGATTTTTCGATCGGTCAGGTTGGAACATTTTTCTCTAACCGAACCAAAATGGATGAATCAGTGGGGTTTCCTTCGTCAAAAATCGTAGCAAGAACACAGCACATGCACAAAAGAAAATTATTTCCGTAGTTCGTCAAAAATTGGTTGGTTAGTATGGCTAACAAACGATTTCCGAAATCAACATTTGACTATGCTTGATGGGGTAATCGAACTTTAATCAAACAAGGGTTCATAGCAGAAACTAACATTTCCGACCGAAAATCTTCTGGTGTATGGCCACCTCTAGGTTTGAAAATCCTGGAACAAAAACGGATTGCTGCAAAGGCCAAAATAGAATAACAATTAGTATAAACCTACTTGCATTTTAATTTGATTATTTAATATTTATAATTCTGGTAGTAGGAGGGCACATCAGTGTACGGCAGTTTTGCTCTCCTGTAAAGTAACAAAAGAACAAGTAATGAGCATACTGTGTGATGAGTCATCATTTGTCATTCTCATGAGGGTTTGGCATATGTGGTCAATGTCAAAGAACCATTCATCTTTTGTTTCTTGTTTCTGAGGGTGAAGTATGCCTTCTAGTGGTATAATAATGTTTTAGTGTATTTATTTAGAATGGTTTCAGACTTCTTCTGTGTACAACTTTCCTTAATAGAAAGCTCATGTATAGCGGTATTCTGTCTCTTTTCAAAATCTTCTCATCTCTACTTTGCTAGTCACAAGTCAGTAATTCTTAAGGTCTACAACAGTATACTGCACATATCATATTTATGGCATTGGGATCAAGCTTTAAAAAG